GTGTGTGTGTGTGTGTGTGTGTGTGTTCATTCCATTATTATTGATACATTCCAGTTGGGATGAATGGGTAATTACAACACTGTATAAAGTTACCAACAGTTAAGTGCCATACTCAAGCCCATGGTTCTGAGTCCTAGCAGAAGGGAGTACAGATACTGTGGAACACCCAGAGACAACAATCAGTACCTAGAAGTATGCTTCTAAAATTCCAGGATCTTACTCTTCAAAGTAGGGGCCACATCTGTTCTTTAACAAAAATTTTACCAGGCACGGTATCTAATAAAAATTCCTGTACACTGACTAACTTTTCTCAATCTTATGGTTTCTGCCAAATCACTTTAATTGAGTTGAACATTCAAGGCATTTTCAGTGTGGCCTGCCTTGAGACATATAATGAACATTTTCATCCTTGTTCCTGCCAGTTCCTTAACAGATTCCTATCCATCTTCTTCAGGTCAAGTTCTCCCTAAACACATAGTTTTGGGGTTTCTACAACCACCCTGTGTGAATGTCTCAAGGGTAGGAGTTCCGAGCACCACAGTAACTGCCAGGATTGTGCCAGTGGAGTGAGATCAGTGAACGGTGTTATGAAATATACACTTCTGAGCTATCTAATGTAATTTCATCACAATCTTGAGTATACAATGGTTGCCAAATGAAATAATCACATGTATTTGATTCATAACTAAATCAAATTCAATACAGTACTCATAGATAAGAAGGGAGCCCTTGATCTAACAATTGTGTCAATCAAAAGCTCACGGGGTCTTTAATGAAAACACACTTGAATGACCATTACCCTAGACTATGCGTGTTTTAGCTACTTAGCTACTTGCTGCTCTTTACAATGCCTGAGGAGCTGAGGAGCTTTAAAAACTCAAACAAATCATGTCTAGGACCCATCTCAGACCCACGAAACACAATCTCTAGAGTGATTTTTTTTTAGGGAAGCAGAGATATACTGGGAACCTTAGCACTGAACTATGTTCCCAGCTCTCTGAATTGTTTATTTTGAGGCAGGGCGTTGTTAAGTCCCAAAGTTGTCTCAGCTGGACTTGAACTTCTGATTGACCTTCCTCAGCCTCCCAGCGTGCTGGGATTACAGGCATGTGCCACAACCAGCTGCTGCATATTTTTAATAGGGATTGTGGGGAGAGAGAAACCTTCTCAGGTGACTAATGTGTGGCCAGGGTAGGAATCACTGGGCCAGAAGGATTTCATAGCCTTTACCAGGGTCTAGGATAAGCTTGGTATGCACTATGGAGTTTAGTAGCACTTGTAAACTGGGATTACAAATGAGTTCTAGAAACATAACCATGGTCTATAGGAAGCTAAGTAAATTACAATGTCTGCTATGAGGAAGATAAAACTGAAGCAATTTGCTGGTTGGCTGAATAAAGAGAGGGTGCACACTATACTCTTAAAATTTACCTTCTATTGAGGACACCAAAGAAAATAATGTTCAGTGCACTAATTCATCTAAAAACAAGGGGTCATCTCTCAATACCTTTTTGGCTTCCTCAGCTGTGACAGTGCTTCCAGAGGCTTCATCATTGGTGATCAGAGTAATCCCATCTAAAAAAGAATTCACAGAATAAAACAAAAACATGGAGTCTCAGCCCCGCTTTCCTTTCCACACCACCCATCTTTGCTCTGGAGACCTGTATAACTATGAAGGTGATCCATCCTGGAAATAACACAAAACTGTAATAGCAATTGATGTACATTTTTTGGGTTTCGTTTTACATTGTTACCCTTTCTCTCATTCTTGCTAGTACAAAAGAAATAAAGGCCACATTTCAATTTCTACCCACTCCATAAAGTCTTCTTTCCCTTTTCTAGAACTCTTAAGATCACTTTCAAATAGTTCTTATCACATCTTACATAACTGGACATGTTATTTGTCTTCACAGACTGTATTTTCCTCAAGGGCAGAGACTAAGTCTGATTCATCTTCATACTCCCCTCCATGTGGTACACATGAAAAACTGAATAAATAAATGTCTGAATGACTGTATACTTCTGTCCAAACATACCAGGTACACAATGCTAGACTCTGCATACATTTTGACTCATAATAGTATAACTGACCATAAAAATCAAATAAAAACAAAATGGCCAGTGGACAGATGACAGGGAAACATGCTTTTATAATTGGCATGTTTATCATTCTTTTATCTCAGTGAGGGCAAATCAAGGATAGAAGATCTACTGTTTAGGTTTTTCTTCTTCATAAGATTTTTTTTTTTCCTGTCTCAAATGGCTAGTGCATTATATACTTGCAGAAAAACACATTTATTTAACATACATTTGTATCTAGAAATGGCACAGATTGTATTATTCTCTCAACAGCCTATAAGATTTCAGAAAATATGTGTATTGTGTATGTCTGTAAGTTTTTTTCAGCAAATAATGTTATAGCCATTCAAGGAATAACCATATCAACTTCTTTCATTTACTGGGTCAGCAGGAGACACACAAAAGTGATTGAATAAGCCGTATACACCAGGCATCCTAATTGCTTTGCTCCTCGGTGTAAAGGTGAAAGGGCTGAAAAAACAGCTGTCAAGGAAACAGTTGTGTATGTGATGAAATACTGTTAGAGGGCATGTAACTCCTTTTGTATAAACTTTACATAAAAGATGGATGGAAACTAATTTTGTCTCCTATTATAAATGAAAATGCTTCATACTATCTCTTAAATGTTGATGTTTGTTTTTTGTTGTTGTTTTTGGTACTGGGGATCAAACTCGAGTCCTTATACTTGTGAGCCAATAATATGCATTTTTAATAAATAATATTTTACACTGGGGTTCCGAACAAAACCTGGGTCATGTTTTTAAAAATGTGCAAAGGGCAAGAAGGAAACCAAACATCAAGCCTGATAATACTGAAACAATGTGTGTTCCCTTCCCTCTGGGTTTAAATCACATGGGCTACTGTGAGTAACTGAGAAATTGAGTGGTTCTGCCACATGAGTGCTCGGCTGCTGATAGGAACAACCCAAGAACATGGTCACAGCAGGTACCAGGGAGCAAGTGTGGGGGAGTCAGTCCAAGTGCTGCAGACCAGGCAAATCTGAAATGGCCAAGGATTGGAAGGAAGGGTCAACGTTTGCTCCTATGATGGCTTCAGACAACAAACTGTGAGGCACAATCTTGGAAACCAGTCATGCTGTGTACATTGTAAGACAAGATATGTATCTCTACTTGTTATTTATCACTCTAGATTTATGCTTATTAAGTTCAACAAATCCCAGGCATTTCCCAAGGCAAAATGGAAAGTCATCAGGTCCTATGCAAGTCATTATGCTATATAATTTATATTTGGAGGCTCTGTGTATATTTTTCAAAATAGCACAAACACTTGGGAGAAAAATGACCCTTTACCTTGAACAACAATTTCCCAGAAATGATTTAACTGTTTAATTTCTACTTTCTCTCGAAGGGCTTTCAGGAAACTGTTAAAGCGTGGTTCTTCTGAAAACTGGGGATCAAAAAAGGAAGAAAAAGTGGCATTCAGAGCAAATACAAAACCAAATTCTTCCCTAGTCCAAAGTAATACACACTTTGAATCTACCATATTTATAAAGAAATACTGTCCTTCTTGGGTAACTTGCAGCTGGCAATTCAAACTGAGCTTTGTTTGCCGAGAACCATAACCAGAAGGCACAGGCTTCCCACAGCCACACTGTTTTTAGTAGCCTGGTGTGTTACTTTTAACTTTTAATACAGACAGTTGCAAATAAAAAGATAATAATTTAGTGAATGTTCATGTGCCACTCAGCTTCAATAATTATCGATGCAACCAATCATATTTCACCTGTATCCTTAACTTCTCCCAGAAGTCTTAGTTGTTTTAAAGAAAATTTGTTATTTTATTTCATTTACAAATATTTCAGATTCAGTATCTAAAACACATATTCTTTATATATTTATGTGTATTTAGGTATTACAGATATATAAATGAGGGTGAGAAAACATACTCAAGTGTCATTACATATCACAAAAATTATCCATTCCTTAGTAGAAGCAAATAACTAGTTATTATTCATATTTTCTTAATTATTCTATACAAGTTTTTTCCTTTTGGTCTTTTGAGACAGGGTCTCACTATGTAGTTGAGACTGACCTGGAACTCACTATGTAGCCCAGCCTAGTCTCGAACTCACAGCGATCCTCCTACCTCAGCCTCCCAAGTGCTGGGATTACAGGTGTGCGCCACCATGCCCAGCAAGTTTCTTCCTTTTTTAAAAAAGTAATGTTATAGTTTAAAAAAATTATCTACTTTTTAAAAATGATCTAAATTAAGATTGACTGATATGTCTCTAAAATCTGTTTTGTTCCCCTCTCATCTGTTTTATTTTTAATTTATTAATTTTTTACACTGCTGGGGATTGAACCCAAGGTCTTCACACATGCAAGCCAAGTGCTGTCATACTGACCTACAGCTGTAGTCCCAGCTTTTTCTCTTTTTATAAGAACCCAGTGACTTCGTGCTTCTAAGGACATGCAATAGCCATAGCGTACAGTGTTATCAGATACTCTATGCAACTTGGGATAGTGTTTTTGAAAAATCAACCTGTTTTATGACCTTTTCCCATCCACATCTTTCTCTACTCAACTGAGTCGGCCATAGTCTTCATTCTACTTTTCCAAAATTTTGTCTTTTATCTGTAGGATATTTGGGGCATCTTTGAATCTTTTATTCAAATCTAATTTTAACTACTTTCTCATTTTCTTGTCATTTTTATAAGTAAATTATTTAAGCATTGATTTGTTCCTTTATCCAGCAAATATTTAATAAACACCTACACAAAAACATACCCCTGTGCGTACTTTAAAAATATATTTTTTAGGGCTGGGGATTTACCTCAGTGGTTCTGCCGCCTGCTGTTTCACAAGCACAAGGTTCCGAGTTCGATCCCCAGTACCAAAAAATAAAAATACATTTTACAAATTGAAACTTGCTCACCTCTTATCTAGCAGTTTAAAGGCCTATAAACGATCTGCAGATTTTTAGAAGTGTTTTCTAAAAATTCTTAATAAAACAAAAACTGTTTAACAAATGGTGAGGGGAAGCTGAGTAACTATTAAAGAACAATGGAACAGTTTTCTTTTTGTCCTGGCACTTAAATCTCTACCCCTATCTCCCTAAAATCCTCAGTAATTAGACCAATATATATTTTCCATCAATTTCCTTAAAATAGCCCAATTTAAGAGTTCTAATACAATAGTTAGCTTTTACAATAACAATTGGGCTGCCAGAGGTTACAATGGAAATTTCCCTGGTTTTCTAAGCAGGAACATAAAGCCAGCGCTTTGGTGTCATAAAAAGCAAGAGAGATAAGACAATGCTCCCGCCTGCCATGTCCACCTGAATTCTTCCTCAGAAATGACAATAACATGAGTTTCATCATTTCCACTTCTCTTGGTATACACTGCTACTCAGGGTGAAAACAGTGATTTCCAAAGCAAAGCCCAGGCTTCTCTGTGGAAAGCTGTGTGGAAAGCCTTGCAATGGCCACCAGCTGTTTGGGAAGAAAAGATAGGTAAGGCCACAGTTACCATTATGGCTTCTTCTCGGAAGGCTTTGATGCAGTCCAAGCTCTTCATAAAATAGGGTGTTTCATTCGTACCCAAAAACTGCTCAATATGGTTTATTAGCTGGTGACTCGCTGGAACATAAAAGAATAAAATTATTTTCCTAGCTGTGAGTGATGCTTCCTGGTGGAAGAGCCTCATGATCAGTATATAAAACAGCAAGACTTCTTGGTGGGGGGGGGTGAGATACAAAATTCTGATTTCAAAAATCATATTTGAGAAATGTGGGTAACACTGCTATTTATCAAGACATAAAATTTCACTTCTGCAATACTTAGAGCCAAGTATTCCTTTGGGGATGTTCAACTCTAAATTGTGGTCGTTTTTAAAAATCTTATTGTGGACCGGGGATTTACCTCAGCGGTTCGGCAGCCTGCCTTGCAAGCACAAGGACCTGAGTTCAATCCCCGGTGCCCCCCCCCAAAAAAATCTTGTTGTTGCCTGCTCCCTCACGCCCCTCCCTCCACCCCAAATTCAAGCACCATTTTAACAATTTATAACTACCTTTTCTAATATATTCATAGAAAACATCTAGTTTCTCCCCAAGCCTTTTTGGGATAACTGTCAAACAGTACAAGGCATTGAAAAGTAATGAATCAGGGATACCCCACCTTTTACCAATCCCAGATTAAATTAGAAAACAACAGCCCCAGTCTCCCCACTCCCCCACCACCCCAATACCAGAGATTGAACTCAAGGCCTTGCACTTGCAAGGCAGGCGCAGTGCCACTGAGCTAAATCCCTGGCCCAACCCCAGTCTTAACATAGCATCCCACAAGATGAGAAATCATTACTATATGTCTTTTGCTCTTAGCTGGACCTCAATATTCCATGTGTTGCTCAGTACTCCCCAAGCTATGAATACTTAATAAACACAGTCAACAAGCAATGTCATAAATATTATAGAACAAAGTACATTAATAATGTTATCATTTCCAAAGTGGGCTGCAACTTGAGGCTGCCTCACAAAGAAACAAATTCTTCAGTATGAGAAAAAGCAAAGAAAAATAGAAATGTGAAAGTTATCAGGGAGCTTGGTCTGCTGAGCAGATCAAAACTGACTGTTTCAATCTGTGGGGAAGAACAAATCAAGGAGATATGAACATTCCTGGCCTAAAGGCTTACTCTGTTTTGTCCCCTAAAACCACTCATTAGCTGACTATTTGATAAATCATGCTGAATAATCAAGATATTCTAAGAGCGCTGTGATTCCCAAATTCATGACCTCATTTGAGTATTCTAGTAGTTAAAAATGTGTAGGCACACAGTACTAAAGCCAACTATCTTCACTATTCACCTGTAAAGGCTCAAGCCCATGAATTCTAAATTGGTGACCTTAACATTGTTCAATGCCTTAGAAAAGACATGAATTTGGTCATCTACTTATTCCCTAAGGATCTTACAGCATGTGGAATGGATTAAAAAAAAAAAAACTATATGAAGTATTTTCTATTATAGCAATTTTGCAGGATGGGAAAAAATATGCCCAGCAACTATTTCTCTTCTACCAACTAGGAGATTATGATCTCCATTATAATAAGGCATTTAACAAACTTGAAGGATTGAAGAAACACTTCTCTGCAATTTTAGAAATCTTTACCAATATACCCTCTAGCAGTGAATTAATATCCAACTACAATTCAAAGGAGGGAATATTCAGATGGTCCTTTTTTAACAAGGCAAATAATACTACCCTGATTAATAGGTAGAGAATCATCAACAAGAAGCTCAAAGCAAATAGAAGCTATCTAAGCTTCCACTTTTCAGCTTAGAAGGGCAAAGTAATACAAATGTTTGGTATTTCTCCTACCCCTGAGAAAGCAGCCTACTTTCTCAGTTAGTCTGATATAAAGTTCACTCGGCATTGTATATCTGGGGACAGTTCAAAACCTTCACAGGCCAAGGGCGATAATACCAGAGACTCCATGGCCCCCACTACTCTTAAAATGTGAATGAAGTTAAACATATATGCACCAAATATAAATGCCCCCAACTATATAAAACAAATATTAAGTAACATGAAAAACCAAATAAGCACTAATACAATTGTAGTGGGGGATTTAAATACCCCACTATCACAAATGGACAGATCATCTAGGCAGAAAATCAACAATGAAATAACAGAATTGAACCAAGCTTTGGAACACATGGACTTAATAGATGTTTACAGAGTATTCCACCCCACAAAATCAGAATATACATTCTTTTCGGCTGCACATGGATCATTTTCCATGATAGACCACATATTGGCTCACAGAACAAGTCTGAATAAATGCAAAAGAATTGAAATCATCCCCTGTATATTATCAGATCATAGTGCAATCAATTGAACCAAGCTTTGGAACACATGGACTTAATAGATGTTTACAGAGTATTCCACCCCACAAAATCAGAATATACATTCTTTTCGGCTGCACATGGATCATTTTCCATGATAGACCACATATTGGCTCACAGAACAAGTCTGAATAAATGCAAAAGAATTGAAATCATCCCCTGTATATTATCAGATCATAGTGCAATCAAACTAGACATCAATAGCACAAGAAACTGTAAGAACTTCACAAGCACATGAAAACTGAACAACACTCTCCTAAACAATCAATGGATTACAGAGGAAATTAAAGAAGAAATTAGACAGTTTTTACAAATAAATGAAAATGCCAATACAATATACAGGAATCTATGGGACACAATGAAAGCAGTTCTACGGGGAAAATTCATAACATTGAATGCCCACATTAGGAAAACAGAGCAGGCTCAAATAAACAAACCAATGATGAAACTTAGACTCCTAGAAAAACAAGAGCAAGAAAAACCCAAAGCTCGAACAAGAGAGGAAATTATAAAGATCTGAGCAGAAATCAATGCAATTGAAACTAAGAAAACGATACAAAAAATAAATGAAACAAAGAGCTGGTTTTTTGAAAGAATAAATAAAATTGACAAACCCTTAGCTACTCTTATCAAAAAAAGGAAAGAAAAGGCTCAGATCCATGTAATCAGGAATGAAAAAGGCGAAGTCACAACAGATCCAAAAGAAATCCAGAAGATCATGAATACCTACTTTGAGAACCTATACTCCAACAAAACGGAAAACACAGAAGAAATGGACACATTTTTAGATACTTAAGAATTACCAAAGTTGAACAAAGAAGATAAAAATATTTTAAACACCCCAAATATAGTCAGTGAAATTGAAAATGTAATTAAAAATTTACCAACAAAGAAAAGCCCAGGCCCCGATGGATTCACTGCTGAATTTTACAAGACATTTAGAGAAGAAC